ACGCCACAAAGAGGCAAAACCCACGTGGGCGCCCCCGAGTTTCCTCGGAGACGCATTCCTCACGAGCAGGAACCAGACGTCGCTGGTACTTAAATCTTCCTAACGCCCCCTCCCTTGAAATGGATATTAACTAGCTATCACTGTCATCATCACGGTCGTACTAGCCTCGCCCCGGTGTAATCTGATACCCTACGATAGATACCCTACGACAGTTGGACAGTTGGTCAGTTTCCGTACTGAGGGCTTCTCCCCCACCCATGTACCACCCAGGCCGACTACCCAGGTAAGGACTGTCCACAATATTGATTGAAGGGATGCATAAAAATGGGGGATAGCCCCCAGGATGTTGCACACTGCTGGTAGTTAGTTGACTGAAAGCAGGGGCGTAGGAAGGGGGTTCCAAGGGGGCGGTCCTCTCCTCACGTGGTCCTTTTTTTTTTTCTTTCTAGCGAGTGTCGGTATTTGCTGTCATTGCAGATTTTTTTTTTCCCCAGTTGGAAGTGGGCGGTGAAAAGCTCCCCCCCCCCCAAGTCTCATCTTAAATACGCCACTTTTTTTTTTTTTCTTTCTAGCGGGTGTCGGTATTTGCGGTCATTGCAGATTTTTTTTTCCCCAGTTGGAAGTGGGGGGTGAAAAGCTCCCCCCCCCCAAGTCTAATCTTAAATACGCCACTGACAGAAAGAATCAATGTGTATTTATAAAGTGGCCTCGCGTAAAAAGGGCTATTTTTTAATTTAACCTCATGCTATAACTTGCATTTTATAAATCCCATTTTTCTTTATCCCCCATGCTTGCAAAAAAATAACCTGTTATTACGTCATCTGATCTGGACGTTGTATTTAGTGCGTCAGAGTTTCACGCATGCGTAAAAAAAAACTGTACACGTGACCAACTTGGCACGGCCTATTTTTTTATTTTTTTTTAAAGCCAGAAACACCCCGTCACCCACCCCCTCAAAATCGTATCCATTGGAACCTCGGATTGCGAAAAAGTTTTGTAAAACAATTGCTTTGTCTCGGTTAACGAACGAAAGAAACTTCGGCTTATGAACACACGCTTAGGCAATTCCAAATTATGGAACCCTGTAATTGCATAAAATGTGCATGTTAAGTTTCTTCGATTGCTTTAAAACTCAACCTATTCCGCGTTTGGTCTCAGTTATTTTATTATTTTTTTTGTTGTTGTCATGTTTCATTTCCCATGTTTTTGGTGTGATCTTATTATGATTTGGGTGCTGGGTGACCGAGTGGTCTAAACTGAGCAAATCTCAAGTTGGTGGTCTGGAGTTCAATTCCTGCAAGAGCAAAAACACCACCAGCACCCCGGGTAGATGGGACTCGTTAACCTTGGACGGCAACTCATCTAAGAGAAGGAAACTCTGAAATCAAACCCGGAGATGGAGTCCCGAAAGGCGGATAACATTGATACAATGAAACATTCCGACAACTCCTGCGACGTCACTGGTGCCAAGCTGTATCATCCAATGATGTTCCCTTCAGACACTGTGGAGACCGGACCATAGTTGGTTGGTTGGTTGGTTGGTTTTTAAATTATTACGATGACTATCTTGATCCACACTGAACATAATTTCTTTGGTGTGCATAGAAAATGTTGTGTGTTTTTAAAAAAAAATCAATACTACATTTAAAATGAAAACGGTAACTCCACTTTATATAATTTAATATTATTTATTATTAATATTTCATTGTGTGGTAAGTCGTATGATGCCGATGGTCTTGTTCCAGGCTCGTAGCTTTTAACGAGTTACCGGTCATGCGGGACATCGCATGAAGACCCTAGTCTTTTGTTTTACCGTTAGAGTTTTTGTAAAATCAGTAGATTACCATTCCACATATGCAAAAAAAAAAAAGAATGTAAAAAAAACAACAATTTATGGGATGATAGCGCCAGGGGTTCTTGTAGGATTGGAACCCACGCAAGCGAGATCGGATCCCACAAGATGAATAATCAAAAGATCGTTAGCGAAGTAACCCCACAGCCAAGCTTCCCATAGCAACTCAGAAGTTCCATTGCGTTATATTCACTCCTGGAACAAAACACTGCTAAGTATAGAAATTTCGTTCCGAGATATTTTTGGGGTTGACCTAGTTCCAATATTGATTGAACGGCTGTATAAAAATGGGGGATAAAGCCCAGGATGTTGCACACTGCTGGTATTTAGTTGACTGGAAGCAGGGGCGTAGGAAGGGGGTGCCTAGGGGGCGGTCCTCTCCTCGGGTGGCACTTTTTTCTTTCTACCGAGTATCAACACAATATCAAAAAACTATCAACACACTTAACTTAATGAAAACAAAATTCCGAACAATAATTCTGGTTGCGAATATCCCCACGGTGGACCACAGGAGCTTAAATGAAAATTTACAGTGCGAGATGTTAGGTAATGAAGTTAATAATAATCTGTAAGACCAAAAAGGCGACACTTTAACGTCTGAATCAGTATTAGATTGATTTATACATTGATAAGTTAGGCACTGCGGGAAAGTTTTAAAAAAAGTGGGGGATTTTGGAGATCATGCCCAGGCCTACCACTGTTGCGTAGGGCGGTGATGGTCTGCGGAAAGTATGTACATTGAATAAATATCATGATATTCTTTCACTCTGTTATCTCTTTACCAACTACGAGCCAGTTCTTGCACGACCTACTAGAACAATTATTCAAGTGGGTCATGGTTCTTGCGGCTGCGGCTCACGCACCTTATTGTTTTTTCCTTTAAAAATCCAATCCACAATTTTATAGGATTAACAAGTTCCGAGTTCCGCTTCTTTAATTGCCGACATCCGGTAGTTTCTTTTCAAACAAAAATTTTCACTTAAAAGTACGTTTTATTGTTTGAATATTATTTTTGAGATTCTACATTTTTATTTCACTAACAATGAAAAAAATGGAAGACGGTAATGGAGGACAACGCCCACCAAAGCGCTTTTGTGCTGAAAAGGCACGAAATTTATTAGAAAGTTGGATAAAGCAGGATCAACATGATTATGATAATGATGATGATGTTGTTGATATTGTTGACATTACGGTGATGAACCTTTAATCAGATTAGACGTATTAGCCTAAAGCTCATTAGAAGTTAACAATCACAGTAACCAATATGATAATGCAAATATACACACCACACTGACACAGCCTAGGCCTAGCTCTAGCCTCAATGGGTACAGCTGGGCAGAGGTGACAGAAGAAAATACAGGAACTCAAAACAGTTTTCATTTTGTTAGAAACGCATCACATGGAGTAAATACAGATTAGGTGAATCCACATTCTTCTATGATGATATTGTTGATATGCTTCTTAAAAATATAAATGCTTATGCACTCAAGAAGTCAGGAAACCCATTCGCATATGAATGCTTGGATCCTTTTTAAAAAAAACCACGCCCAGTCACAGCTTAGGCTTAGCTTGAAGCAGTTTAAAATTAAATTAATATACCAACTGATAGAAACAGCTGGACAATCTTTGGCTCATAATGAAATATCAAATGTACAGCCTGATGTAAAAATTGTAACTCAGAACCCATTAGTCCGGCTCCGTGCCAATAATCATTTCCTCAAGAAGGTAAATAAGGACCGTAATTGCCAAGTGTGCAGCAAGCCTGGTGCAAGAAAAAGAACCACACATGTATGTGAAGTATGTCCTGGTCAACCATTCCTCTGTAAGGAACCTTGTTTCAAGATTTGGCATACTAGTACAATATGTTGTAAATAACAATAAGGAAACTTTGAAGTGACTTTTTTAAAAAAAGGCACTGGATATATTGTTTTTAACATAACTTGTTCATTTTTTGTGCAATTTTCATAATAAAACTTGGCAGATGTATTGGAAAAAACTTTTTAAACTGACTGAAAATTTGATTTTTTCCTGATGTTAGTAAAAGTAGGCTATTTTGTTTCTTTTTTGGTGTTGCAAGATATATCAATATTCACTTTGACCTTGAGTACATCACATCAAATATAGCTAATTTTAATTTTATAAAGCATATTCTTGCAGACACCCTTTTTCTGTTTAAAAAGTTGATATATAATACATGTACATTGAAAGTAAGATATAAAAGATAATTACGATTAAACCTAAGAGGGCTAGGTCTAAAAATTGGGTCATGAAAACATTCCAGTCAGAATGAGGAAAATGTACTTGGCTGAAAATGCCGCCCACCTCTATAGTGTTTCATTTCACTTTTAATATACTAGACCAGTGGTTCTCAACCTTTCTAATGCTGTGACCCTATAATACAGTTCCTCACGTTGTGGCAACCCCTAACCACAAAATTATTTTCGTTGCTGTTTCAAAACTGTAGAGAACAATTATTTTCCGATGGTCTTGGGCGATCCCTGTGACAGGGTCGCGACCCACAGGTTGAGAACCGCTGTACTAGACTATGTACATCGCTTCAAGCCTTTGGGGATGAAGCGTGATTTTCAAGTAAACTTTATTATTATTATTATTATATAGACAAAAAAGTGCTGCCAGGAGAAATCAAATAAAGAAGATTAAGGTGCTTTTGATAGGTTATTCTGGGATGGATTATTGGCTCAGCAAACAAGAAATATTTATTACCTGTACAAAATATTTTATCAATTATTTTTGTTCAGTTTTCCAAAAACTAATAATTCCCAATCACTCCTTACATCACTTAAAACTGTCACATTACATATTCGTAATGCATTTTAATTTGATATTGATAGTTTAATTTACATCATATATATTACACACATATACAACATAAGTAAAAGGTTGTTCAAGAAATGTTTTCATAAAATATTTTGTGATTGATCTTCTTTAAAAAACAACACATCTACACAAACCTCCAGAGTCCAATATCAGCATAGATCTTAAAATAGCCAGTTTTATTTCAAAAAACTTTTTATGTGTCAAGACTATTGATATCTCTTACAAAAACTGTTAATGACTTTATCACTTTTTTAAAGATTTCACCAAATATTCAATGATGCCAGTTTACAACCCTCATCATCGTTGATTTATGTGGCAGGTCCGAGACAAGACTACATTTTCATTGGAGAGATTAATGATGGTAGAGATGAAGAGCAGCTCCCTCATGCTGAAGAATCAACAGCAACAAAAGCAGTATGAGAAATGTCATGATGGGATAGCCAATCAGGTGGTCCCCGTCTTGTTTTGCTCACAAGGTAGCTATGTTAAAAATGGTTGTTTCTTTACCTCATATGTAGCTCTATTTGCCGGTTTAATACATTTAATAAAATGTGTGATCAATTTATTGCTTACAATATCAATCTATTATTTTTTTATTAAATATTCAATTTTAATTTTAATTTTTTGTTTAACAAATATAATGCTTAATAAATACTGTTCTATTCAAGATATTATTGACATTTCATGACTACAATTAAAAGAAATTGAATTAACCCATTCTTGCCTAATTTGCCCTTCTGCATAAGCAATGGTACATAACTCAATTTTAAAATGTAAAATTATTTTAAAAATTTAATAAATATAAAAATGAAAGAATTATAATTGTCAAGATAAAAAATACAGTTATTAAGAGAACAAACAATTATATTATCTGTAGATGAATATCACATATTTGCAAACTGTCTGGATCACTTTTTGGGGAGTTTAATTTTCAAGCTATTGAATGAACATTACACATGTACTTTGGCTACTTCTATACATATATGGAGATGTTTTATTTGCCATGGCTTTTTATCTTTCTTGATTTAATTTGAAACATTTAAAAGTTTGAGAAAATTAACTGGTAATTTTGTGTGCATTTAAAACTTATTTAAAGTTATTGTTTGTTGGTTATGTATGAAGATTTTTTTCACTGGACATTAAACATTTCTGATCATTTGATTCAAGAGCTTCATTTCATAAATATTTTTAGTAACTAAAAATACAATTTTTTAAAATAATGGAAAAAATCCTTCCATTTCATTGTACAACTGATTGGGACAAAACTAATAAATCATTTCTCTTAAAAAATATTTTGGAAGAAGCACACCGTCCTTACTGCCTAAGAGCACAAACAAATATTTTAACAGCCTTTCAAATGTATGAATTCTTATCAAAAATATGTTTTTAAGTATAATCTTTTTATTTATCTTCTAATAGTTATTACAAGAAAAAGCTTTGCTTAGAAGTGGACCTTGTCGGAAGAAGACACTAATCTTGATCATGGACAAGAATGTCCCATGTTAGTTTATCTTGAATTTTTAACATATTTAAATAGAAAATGTTTTCGATATTTAATGTTTTTCTTCTTGGCTGCAGTGAATTCCAAACAAATAAAATAGCTATAAGAGAATATTTCTCAAACTTGTTTGATTAAGTTTTAAATTAATAATGATGTCTAGGATGAAGCTTGTAAGCCAGCATCTCCTGTTCCAGAGAAAAAAATATATCAAATTAATGTTTTTTGAGTATGTGTCAAAGTCATCTCCACTGGAGTCCTCACTTTTGTTGCATTTTTTACAAGGGCAGTACGAGTATTTAATGGAAAGCAATTATTGTTCCATAATTTTAAAAATTAATAATGGATCTTTGTTTCACTAGGACCTCTGGCCACTCCAGGTGATCCACATGACAAATACGATATACTGAAGAAACTTGGTGCAGGGTAGCCTTGATTTTCCTAAAATATGTTAATTAATATTTTAATTTAATAACATATAATGTAACATATATTTTCCCCCTTGCATCATGGGTTGTAAATCAAAAAAATGAATGCGCGATAGTGTCTTAACCCTATGACTGTCAAGTGCATTTTTCTGTAGTGTCAAGCCATTTTTAGCAATTTCATATACTTGTCAAAAATGACAAAATCCCATAATAAATCAATTCAGAAACACTTAAAGTATACATTTTCTGAAAGTACATCGGACAAGTTATCTTATGGTATGACAAGAATTTGTTTTTATATAAGCATGTTGATGTTGACCTTGACCATAACAGAGTGAATACATTTTTACTTCCCAACTTCTTAATTCAACTCACCTATAAATTGTTCAAACTATTATAAAATAAAGTTTTTGAGATACTAGAAGTAATATTCTTTCAGAAAATGTCAAGCAATTAGTTACTTATAATTAAAATTATAATATTGGGGATTTTTTTCATTTACTACCTTCAAATGTATGTCATACAGAAGGCATAAAATGGGTTCATAAATTCCTTTAAGTTATTTTTATGACTTAATACGCTAGAACATACACAAACATAAATGTCTTTGAATCTCTTTAAGGTAGGTCTTTGGAATACAATATTTGTCTTTTCTGTTCCATTTTCACCATTTCCCAAACTAATTTGTCCGTAACCATACAGCTAAGCTTAGGGCTAAAGCTGTCAATAACGATATCTGACTCTTATGTCACCATCACAGCTTGAGCTAATACTGTCATTACTAGCACATGGAATATCTCTGAGATCATTGCTTTCATTTTAATCCATTTAAAATAGTTCCATCAAAGAAATTCTGTTGTTTTTGCAATCTAGAAGAGGACCCTCTCCAGCACCAGACATTATATTGATTTAAAAAATTGAGCAAATTTCACATCCTATTAATCACAAAAAAAAGTCTTGATAAAAGCATGTTAACACACAGATAGCAGCGTAAATAGGAAGCAAACTCATTTGTAAAGATTGATTTCCTCTTAACCAATATAATTAAATCATTCAATATTTAATGAAGATTTTGGTAGTGGGCTATTTTATCGGCCTAGACACTACAGAAAGGGGTCTATCACGATTTCTATAGCCTCCCATTATAAAAATTTTACTTTATTCCTGACACAAAAGAATAAATTTAAAAAATGGTTGGAACAATTTTAAAATATGTAGTAAAAAAACAACAACAAAAAACAAGCACTCACCGATGATTGCCATGCTAGGGAGATAGGTGAGGATAAGGAGGATGCTAGGAGTTCGAGGATGACAATTTAGCAAATTTTTATTTACACTTAGTGCACATTCATTCATTCTTAGGCCATGTTTAAAACACAAAACTTTAAAATAGAAACAATACATTTATCGCCTGCAATACATAAGTATTGATACAGCTGATGAGATCTCTTTGATCATAGTTTTTTTAAGACCGCCTGACAATCCAAAACAAATAAAAACTAAACTGCAGCGTAAAATAGTTCCAAACAATTGTGAAGAAAAAAAAAGAGCACAATATAAACATTGATGAATTTATATTAAAACTTTGAAATTATTTAACTACTTTATTATGTCTATTACAGAGCTTCAGGAAGAATGTGTATGGCAAAGTGTTAAGATTCTGAACATGTGTTGACCATTAAGATGATGGATCTGAATAACCAACCAAAGACAGAATTGATCAACGCAGACATTGAAATCATGAAACTTTACAGACATGAGTATATTGTCAACTCCTTGACTGCTGTTATATTGTAGAGGAACTCTGGGTTGTATCGGAGGTCAGTATGTCCAATAAAAATTAAGCAATGGGTTTAATCACTAAGAATTCTAATAAATATTTGGCTTTTTAATTTTGTCTAAGAAATCAATTATATAAAAAATAACCTCTCTGTTACTAACTTTATTCAGTTTTCAGGAATGGATATTTACAAATGAACAGACCCAATTTTCTTGGGTGCTGTTACTAGTATGATCGTTTAAAACAAAAAAAAAACTACTTTTTTTTCTATACCCACAAATTTTACTATTTTAATAAATATTTTGCTTCCACTTTCTTTTGCCTCATATCATTTTAACTCTAACCTGATTATATTAAATAATTTTTTTGGACTGTTCCTGATAATTTCTTACTGTTGTATTTACTATAACTATTAGTACTAATATTGCATCTATTATTGCATTATGATTGTTTATGTATGTATATATTTGTATATATATAATCATTTGTTAAACAGAACAGGTGTAATGAAGGGCAGTTTAGTAATAACTGCTTATGTAATAAAGGTATACTGGTAGCATGGTTTCCTGTTACCTCAAACTTGCTTCAGTGCATCAAAATGGGACTAAGTTTTTGGCTAAAGTTTAAGTGTAGACTATTAGTAAGCTCCCTTAATGACAAAATTCATGAAACTCAACAATTCATCAGTTTAAACAAAAGTTGTATTTCCTTGTCAGTATTTAGATGGAGGTGCTACAGAAACATGGTTACGGAAATTTGATCGAAAGAAATTTCGTCGACGGTAAATTGATCGACGGTAATTTGATCGACCGTAATTTGATCGACCGGAAATTTGGTCGAATCTTTTTTTCAGTTAACGCGTTAAAATTTAGTAAAACAAAATAATGCGTTCAAAAAGACATTTGAAGCAAAATTTAAACTTAAAAACGGAAAAAAAGATTCGACCATATTTCCGTTAGGTCAAATTACCGTTGATCAATTTACCGTCGACGAAATTTCGATCAAATTTCCGGATACGACAGAAACATTCATGAAGGAAGGGGAGATAGCTGCAGTGTGTAGGGAATGCCATAAGGCCTTGCAATTTCTTCATTGCATGAACATTATCCATTAGATATTAAAAGTGACAATGTGCTACTTGGCTTGGCATGATTGGGGCAGTCAAGCTCACATATTTTGGCTTTTGTGCCCATCTTAATGGGGATAAAGGCAAGAGAGACACAGTGTTTGGGACACCTTACTGGGTGCCAACTGAGGTTGTTTCTATTGTTTTTGTTTACATGTGAAATAAACTTTATATTTTAACTGATATCGCTTTTAGAAATATTTTTGTCAATTACAGAAAACAGTATGGTAAGAAGGTGGATATCTGGAGTCTTGGAATTATGATAATTGAGATGCTAGAAGGTGAACCACTTAACACAAACGAAACACCTTTAAAAGCCACTGTATCACTAAAAAGGTGGGTATTAAGGTTTTAAAAGATTTACAAATTAATCCTCCAGGATAATCTCTTATCTGATTTGGTAAAAGTGGTGAAATTCTAATGTTCCAGAATAATTTGTAAGGCAGCATAATTAAGTTTTTAATATACCAGAGAGAGGAGATACATTTTTTTACAAAGAATTGAGTTCTGAACAGTTTGAGCTACAATAAATAGTATTAGTATTTATGTACAATTATCAATGTCTTTGTTTTAGTACAGTAATTGATATTTTGGTAAGAAAAAAATGCACAAGATTTATCTTGGCAAAGAAAAAAAAGGGTGCATGAATTTAAATGTGTAAATATTTTCCATTCACAGGGTAAACCAGAAATCAAGGATGAATAAAAACTATCAAAGGAGCCCAAAGATTTGATAGACAAGTACTTGGAAGTTGAAGAAGACGCCAGTGCAGCAAAGCCTTTAGAACATCCATTTTTGGAAAAGTCTATGGCTTTAGCTACTCTCAGACCTTTAACAGCAGCTGCTCGCAACTCTATGTTACAATCTTAGCAATGCTATGGGAAAATCTTAGAGAAACCCAAGGCTACTTTGTTGAATTTTCGTATACTTCACATCAATAATATTTTTTCATTCTCACAAATTCTTTGATTACAAATCATCTATTTTAGTAAATAATGCGGTCCGAATTCTGAGAATACAAATATAATTTTGGTGAGAGAAATAAGGTTTATTGCAAATATGTTAACTCCTAGGTTTTTAAAAGAAAAATAGAAAATAATAAGACAATTTATAGATCTGGTCGTAGACAACCTTGTGAGAAAATGAATAAAATCAAATTTTAAAAAAAAATATTTTGAAAACCACTGTCAAATGATTTTGTAAGTTAGCAAGGAAAAGGTTAATATTATGAACATGTTAATGAATTTATTTTTTTTAAGGTTGATTAGAAACGTGTTCTTTGCTAAATGCAGCCTACTGTAATGCTGAGTGTTAAAAGTCAGTTGTGTTTTATCCATTTAGAGAAGAGATGTATGTAATGAATTCTGCTAATAACTTGAGGACATTCCTTGCAAATGCTCTGCATGATTATACAATAATTCACGTATAAAGGCTCTGAAAATATATGTCTATCATAGCAAATTATATAAACATTAATTTAAAGGATTTTCTCAGGAATTTGATATCTTTCCTTCCGTTGCAACCAAAGATCCGCTGTGTTTTTCAAATTTAAAAAGATATAGACTACATATTAGAAATATTACAAAGCCATTTAGAATGAATGGTTAAATGAAAATTATACTTTTTATCTCAATACCATAAGCAATTCTTATTATTAGATAGTGTTTCTGTAATGTCCCCTTAGTCTATTTTAAAATGAATTGTTTAGAGGGGAGAAATGAGATACATTACCTCAATGCTAATGTCATTCATAAGAATGTGTCATTTCAAAATCTTACACTTAGTGTTGACAGTGTACTTACTTGTCTCCTATAATATTTTGGTGTGAGTTCTGAATTGTATTCTTCCGTCAAACTTACCTTGCATCTGACATTTTTCTATTTTCTTGCTGTTTTTTAGTTGTCAAATTCTGAAAATATTCTCTTGTTCTTGGGGAGAGGAAAGAGAGAGAATTGTACTTAATGCTGGCCGTTACCAAAGGACTTTTGTCCCAAAAAAGTGTCTCTGTACGTATCTTGTTAACGCAGATAAATTGAGCCATAATTGTATAATGAAAATGACTTGTGTTTGGCTTAAAAGAATTTTTTTATTTAAGAAACCTTTTTTAAACAAATAAATGGTTATAGACGTCTCACTGATTTAACTTAATCTATTTCTTAAATCTATGATTTCAACAAAGATCTACAGTAAAATATGTAAAATAAATTATTGTAAATGACATGGAGAATTGACAATAACTAAATTGCCACTATTTTTTTATTATTTTTTATTTTACAGTAATAAAGTTTTCCAGTTTATTTGATTAACCCTTTACAACTTGTTATTTGTTATCAAATTTATTATTTTCTCTGATTATTGTGATAAACACTGAAATTTGTGTGTGCACAAACTTGAGCTGATCTTGGCTGATCTTAACAAATTGATTATATTTAGTTAGACTACATTCTCAAATACATAATATATTTTACTTCAAATAAAAGCTCCCTATTTAATTTGCTCTTTAGGTAATGGGCAAATACATTTAAAAAAAAAAAAGAGTACTGTATGCAGTCCAGTCAATATAATACTCATGCTAATCTTATGGATATGGTGTGTTTTGTGGATGGGGGGNTTTTTGGGGGGGGGGGGGGGGTGGGGGGTGTCAAGCTGACAACTCTAAGTTAGTTTTTTTTAAAGTAAACATGTAAACATTTGCCTTCAAATTAAAAATTTCAGATGGATAACTTCAGTTTTTATAAAAGTAAAGGTAATATTCCATGATTGACTTGAGAAGAGCTGGGGCTTATTTATTCATCGATGTTTACTTCTATATCATAAGTTTCTGAAAAAGCAAATCATTTGTTTTTTTGCACAGTGGCATGCTGCTTTAATAACTATTTATTTGTAGCTAAAAGGGAATGATTATTTATTTTTTAAATGATTATTGAAGTTGATAGTTTCTATAATTTAACTGCACTTCCCTGTGCCGTCAATCCTTGTCACTGATGTTAAAACTTTTTTTATAGTGTGCCTTAAGCATTTCAATTCAAAATTGTGCAGACATTTCCTCTGTTACATAGGTAGAGTCTTTCTACCTTCAAAGAAAATTTTTTCTTTGCACATTTACAAATATTTATATTATTCATTTGGTTAAAAACCAGGAACATTAATTTTCAATAATTTTCATCGTACTGAAGTTGTTTTTTTCTATTCCGTGTCCTTCCACATTTGAAGTTTGGAAACCACTGCCTGCCATTATGATTGTTTTCTTTTCTCTTTCTATTCAATGTTGTAATTTATATTTTAGGTTAAAAGCAATTTCTATTTTTTAAGGTACAGTGTAGGGTTTGTATTTTTATAAGGTTTCTTTGGCCTGAAAAGCAAGTACATCACTTGACACCAACAAATATGACTAGTTAAGATAGAATTTCTATATGATGAGAACACCTTTTATTGTGTTTCAAATATATATCACATTTGTTTGGGAAATTTAAATTTAAAAATATTAATCAAATTTTTATAGATATAAATACCATAACAAGGCTACCTGAAAACTATTGTATGCCATATGATATTGATGTCCCATGAGACATAGTTTCATCACCATGTCTGTTGATCTGAATAAAGATTTCAGTCTCTTAAATTCATTGTTGTATTTTTTTTTTTTTTAAAGGCTTAGCATATCATACTATTACTACTCTTATGAATGTGTACAAGAGGAGAAATATAGAATCTATTTCTATAAACCTTGCTCCTCTTCAGTTTGTTCAAGAAGATTGTGACTATCTGTCACATAAATCAAATGTCAATTATTATTTTTTATGTGTTACTTTATTTTTAAGACTAAATGACTGATAATATGTTCTTATATAAGGTATGTATCACAATACTATTTTTTTAGCACTTGCAACTTCACATTTTTAATGTGTGCTTTTTTATTGTCATTTATTTTGATCTTGCGTTTAAAAATAATTCAATGCTTTTAGTTGTAATATCGCTCACCATAAAGTATATAAAGTATTGAAATTTAAAATGCTATGACTTTGAGATGAAATCACGAGAAATGAGGCCAACTGATAAATTGAATTATTTGGCCTGTGCTATATAAACCAAATTATATAACTAAAGATATAAATACATATATTTTTTAAAATGTGTATTTTTTATGTTTCTATTTTGATAGTTGTCACATACATTTTTAGACATGAACAGGAGACACCAACATCCAAATGGTTGGCTTGAAAATTGAATTTAGCAGGAATTGGATGGATTGATAATTGAAGCGCAAAGATCACAACATATAAAAGGCTATTTAACCCACATCTTTTAATGAACAAAATTATTCGAAGTGGCTATTTGGACCCAGGTCCGAGAAGTTAGAGGTTGGGATTAAAATTTTTAAAAATATATTATTTTTGGGTTGTTGGACAAAATTTGGTATCAAATGAAAGATAATTTAATGGACTAAATGTTTTTAAACTTAATTCTTCAGTTTAACTAAAATAAACTACCGGTACCACAAATGACATCGGAATAGCTTTGAGTCTAAAAGGACCCAGGTCCGAATAACGGCGATGCGTTTCCGGTTCCATTTTGACTAAATGCTATTTGATGTCATTTGTGGTAGTTAATTTTAATTAAAATTAAGAAGTAAGTTTACAAAAATATAGTCCATTCAATTATCTTAAATTTAATACCAAATTTTGCTTTAAAAACCCTAAAATAATTTTAAAATATTTTTTAATAAACCCAAACTCTCACTTCTCGGACCTGGGTCCGAATAGCCGCAGCCTAAATTATTATTATTTTCTTTTTTTTTTGAATAAAAAATATTTTTGTTTAAAAAGGATTTGACTCAGTACTAGTACTAGTTTTTTTCCCGATTATTATTAGTCTCCAAAGACTGGTTAAATTTCTTTAATATTGTTCAAACTGCTTCATCTTATTCATGTGGTTCCATGAATACTGATAATTTTAACATACTATGCATGGAACATGCAATTAGTTGAGCAGAGACAAAGTATATGTCAGTCATTGCTGTGATACACCAAAATAAAATTTCCCCCGCAAATAAGATCCAAATCGCTCATTTGCCTATACTATACCATTTGAATACAAAGATTCTTCACTCACAATGAAGTTTGCTAACATGTGACCTGAAGGGTGCTTTGCTTTTTTTTTTAATAACTTAGCAGTTCTACAACTTTTAAAAAAATAAAATAAAATGCAAGAAAAATTCAAAGGAAAAGCATTCTACTGCAGTTTTTCAGCATGAAATAATATTATGATAAAATTATTTATCAATGTATGATTGTGTTTCTTTTGCATGGTTACTAAGCGACTTTATCCTTGCACATTTGTCTTATATGAATACAAATGTTTCAATATACTTAAATAAAAACAAAATTTGAAACACAACTTCTTATCAGTTTTTTTATTTATTACTCAATTTAGGGGCGTCCATTAATTAGGACAACTATATTTTTTAGCAATTTTTTACCCCCCCCCCCACTTGTCAACAAGTTTCAATGACCCCTCTTAGTACTTATGTCAACATTTCTATACCCCCCCCCCCGCCCATGAATTATAATATAAATAAATATATAGATACATTTTACTTTGTACTGATCTATTTTAATAACAAAAAATTTTAGGAAAAACTTTTTATCGCATCCTTAGCTTGTTTATCAAGTTAAAATTTTATGTAACTAAAAATTATACAACTATTTTAATGTACACTCATTAAATTTGTTAAAATAATGTAATAACCAGTCAATTTTTAAGGTAAGATAAAACTTTTAATATGGAAATCATGATTGTTGACGTCAACTAATCTACTCCCCCCCCTTTCCCTCCCCCTTGTCAACAATTGTCAAACA